TGGAACCAGCGCCGATGTTAAAGGCTGTAGCTAGCGGCGCCCCTGCCTTACCGCTCGGCCACTCGACTATGAGGCCAAGTGGTATACACCCTTGGGTTTTCCCATTAGAACCTATTTATTCAAGGTATTCTTAATACGCAATGAATAATAGTAAATCACATGAAAGTAACTTTAGTAACTTTAGTATGGAGATACACCTCCACTGGTTTTAATTAAAAATGATAAGAAGAGGAAATATGTTTTTCTTAAATATTTATTATCAGCTTTTATTAAGAATAGAAATTAAAAATCAATATATTGTATTGGACCTTTTTGGAAGCATTTATTTAAATCATTCTAATATGACTAAGCACACACACATTACATTTTCTTTTAGATTCAGTTCTATCTATCTTATTTTTTTTATAAATCAAAATAGTTTGGCTTCATCAGCTGTTTAAAGATATTTTCTGTCTGGATTGCAAGTGATGCACCTTTGTTTATTTTTTGTAAAATAAATCTAATTTTTGCTAGTATCACATTAACGTTGTTTATCATTCTTTCATTTTTTTGTTACCTTACCTCATGCAGTTAAGTCAGATAGCAAAAAAACAAGGTGGCATAATTAATTACAGAGGGTATTCAATATGATAAAAATATTTTCAATTTGCATTGGTATACACTATGAACAAATGATAAATGCATTATTGAATATTTGGTAGGATGTGTATTTGAATGTTAAATGTTTTGAGGCAGTGCTATTTATAGTTTTCTATTTATTCTACTTAAGGAAATCTAAAAAGCATGAAAGAAGTGCTGCAAAATTATGTTTATTTTCTTAAATAAATTTCCTTTTAGTGTTGTTGCTTTTTACCAAATTGAATGTTTGTTAAGCTTTGTCTGCACTATTATGTGACAAGTACCTGGGATTTGCCCATATATGGGTATGATATGACATCATATATCCATATATGGGTGTGATTTTAAATTATGCCCATGTGTGGGGTGATATGAAATCATTATCCCTATATGTTGGCAAGTGTTTTACCTTATCAGAGAAGTCAAAAATTAAATCTGATCACTAATGAATATGCCTTTGTTTTCTGTCTTGTAATTAGCGTGTTAATCTTTGTTGGATGAGATTGAATTGTAAAATTTAAAATATATATTTTTCCAGCCTTGGAAAACCAGAGGAAAAACTTATCAGTGCGATAGAAAAAGTTGACAGCTGCGAGCGGCTGTTGCAGGTGGTGAAGAAGATAAAGATGACCACTCCCCTTGGGCCTGGATTCATGGTATCAACAAAAATTGCAGCATTTAAAGATAGTAGTAAACGATTAGAAGGATCAATTTTTGCGTTAACAGGAGATGTGTAAGTATTTTTTTTAATAAGTTATTTATTGATTTTGAACTTTATGCATTTATGCATATACATATAAAATATGTTATTCAGTATAATAAATTGTTGTTCAATCATTTCTTTTCATTATGTTGGCTTTTAGTCTATAAATATCACATATTGTAATGTTATTCACAAAAACAGGAAGAGTTTAACGGAATCTAGTACTATTTTTGCAGAAGTTACGTTTCATGAGACATTACCTGGATTTGGCTAGCTTTCTGCACCCATGCATTATCACCACACAACTAAGTTACTGCATGCAATTCTGTAATTGCTAAATTTGAAATAATACAGAATTCTGCAGCAAGAATCATTGTGAAATACCATGCTTAATAAGGCCAAAAAAAAAAAATTCTTGCGTTGGCCACGATTTAGGAAAATCCTAAAAATGGGTAGGTCGGTAGGGTAGGGGAACATTTTTTTTTCTTTTTTTTTTTATCAATAGTGTATTTATGTCTAAAAAGTAGAAAATACACAAAAATACAACAAAGACCATTTTAAAATCTATAAAGAATAGCAAAACTATTACATTTATACACTGTCAATCTGCTACTGTCCAGCAAGATAGGCCTATTCTAGCCTTTTTATCTCATTAAAAAAATATTTTTCATTGTAGTCAAAAAAAAAAAGTCAATAAATAAAATGCCGAACCTCAATTTTTGTACATTTTGGGTCGGTTGGGCATGGCCAACACAATAATTTTTTTAAAAATTGGCCTAATGTGCCACACAATTTCCTGAACTATAAAAGAATCAATTCACTCTATTTTTTGCTGCAACCCTGGATTTCTCTCTGGCATATTTTTGGATGTATATCATTTATGTGAAGGTGGTGCACATTTAGCTTGATTTGAATGCAGTACAGTATATGAATTATTTTAATAGCTAACACTAACATCATTACCTTTCTATAGAACTGGGAATGTTCTCTTTTCGCTTGATACGGCAACGACAAAGAAACGGACAGAACAGTACTATGTAGAGTTAGATTACATTTGGCAGAGTTTGACGGAAGAAATGAAAAAGGCTCATGGTTCTCTAAAAGACTCAGTAAGTAATATCACACAAAGATACTATTATCTTATTTAACAGTTTCAGATTCCAGGAGGGAGATGCCAGCGCAGGCCCACCAGGGGCGGATCTTGAATTTTTCATATGGGAGGGGTACAATATTTTCCGAATAGATAAGTGAGTCAGGCCCCCCCTTTTGAGAGGTAAAAAAAAGAAGAAAAAAAAGAGAAAAAAAGAAAAAGAAAAAAACGATAGCCCAGAATGCCTCAAATGGTATTTTTGGGCGTCTAAAACACAGAAATTTTGTGGGGGAAATTCCCCCGGACCTCCTATTTCAGTGTTGTCTCGATCGGCCAAATTTCGGCCCCCCCTTTTGGACATCTCTGGATCCGCCCCTGTGAGTAGCGCTAATTTCAATATATGCATTGAAAATTAAAAATTTTGTGGAAAAACGTTCCCCCTACTGGATCCGCACCTGCCTAATTTTTGTAAATTTATTTTTTAATGAGGGATAAAAGAATATTACATTCAATGTAAAGTCTGAGACTGCCATTTATAGCCAACTTTAGGTGACACCTTTAAAATTTTGGACTTCAGGTTGTCTGGAACCTCCATCTGTGAAAGTACCTTCCTGGCCCCACTATCTATGACCCCACCTTCTAAGACTCCACCCCCTATGGCCCCACCTTATATGTCCCCCTCTATGGTTCCACTCTCTATGGCCTCCCACACTTTATAGCCCCAACTCTCTATGGCCCACATCCTCTATAGACCTACTTTCTATGCTTGCACCCTCTGTTTTGATTTCCTGGATCCGCCACTGTAATTGACAGATTTGAGCTACTAACTGAAAAAATAAATCCAGTTGTCTACTTTTATGTGCAAGTTAACTGAAAAAATAAATCCAATCATTTACTTTTATGTGCAAGTTATTATTATGATAAAATGTACTAAGTATGCCTTTTTTTTAATCTGAGTCTCATTTTTTAAAAATTTATTTAGGAGCTTGAACGCATCACAAACCTAATTCTTTCACTGGCATACTATTTTTACAATCTTATGCCGTTATCAAGAGGGAGTAGGTAAGTTGATTAGATCGGCAAAGGGGCTGTTCACTATATTGCTATCCTTATGTATTAGCTGTGGTCATACCACTGGTGGTGCTAGGATTAACACAACTGGGGGCTAAGCTGTCAGACAGGGTGGTGTGATATTTCTAGAGGAGGGGGAGTGATCCAGGAGCAAATTCCTAGTAGAGGTTCACAGCCATCTTAACCTTTCTGAAACAGTATTATACAAAAAGAATTTCAAAATTCCGATCTGACATGTCATGGCTGACTGGGGGTTTGGACTTTACGGAGCGGAGTCTGTTTCCCCTCCAGCATCACTTCTGGTAATAACCACTAAACCACCACCAATATTTTCTGTAATATTCAACTTAAATAAAAGTAAAATAAAATATTATTAAATGAAATATTTCATGTATATAATTTAAAAAAATATTTTACATTGTTTCAACAGTGTTGTTGCATATACAGTAGCCATTGGTTTGGTGTTAGCCATTGGGAAAGAAGTAACTGGGAAGATTCCTAAAGGAAAAGTTGTTGATATTGAAGCTATCCTAGCTGGAACACCAGAAACATTTGCAAGTCTTTCAAAAAGTTGGATGAATATTCAAACGTTAGTATTCTCTGCTCATTACATCCCTTGTCACTTGTGCGTTTCCTTTCTCTCTACATATATACATACATACATATCAACTACCATCAGATCTTGATCCATTTTGGTGCATCTGGACATCAGCATGCATTAGCGTCTTTTCCTTCTGTAGGCAAGTCCTCTCTCTCTTCTGTCCTCTCTTCCCACCTAATATGTTTTGTGAGTGATATGCTATCAAGTAATGGCATGCATGTTTTTATATTTAATTATTGAATTGCCATACTTTCTGCTGTCAACTAGTTTTACCTTTTGATAATTTGCAAAAATAAATCGAAACTGAAATATAATTTGATGTCACTGGTAGCTCTCTTTATTAATTAGTATTATTTATTTAGGTAACATACAAGATGCAGTGAAAGACTCAAAATAGTTGCATCATCAACTTGCCGCCCCTTCTAAGCTCTTGCAAGTTGTGATACAATTTAAATTAATGACACATGACACCACTGGCCTATACAGTAATATGCCAGATTTTCAGAGTCTGCGGGTTTTGGAAAGTAAGACAAAGCATTTCAGCATGCTAAACCAAATAATAGTAATGCTGTAGACAAGAGCACACCATATACTTGTATTACCCAGGGACGGATCCAGAATTTTTTAAACGGGGGGCACAACATATTCAGAATAGGTATGTGAGAGCGCTAATTTCAATATATGCCTTGAAATTTTAAAATTTAGTGGTAAAACACAGGGGGCATGTGCTCCCTACTGGATCCGCCCCAGTATTATTATATTTATCAAGTTTGATTTAAGACTCAAGACTATCAATGGTTTAACTACAGTAAATGCTCACATAAGTGCTGCGGCACTTATACCATTTTTAAAGGCTTCGGTGCGTGCTTATTCGAGAGCGGCGCTTATAAAAAAATATTAGCATGGCGCTTTCCATGTCCGTTCCCATATTGCCTATCTCGCGTACATTATTCCCGTAGTTTGGTAGGCCTATCATAGGTCCTATGTCATTGTAAATAAACGTTTATAAAGAAATGCTTGTGTTATTTATTCATTTTAACACTATACATTGTATTTAAAACCCTGTTTCTCAGATGTTTCATTTACACACGGTAATATATGTGGCAAAGACAAGCCAAACCAGTCACTCATCGCAAATCCTGTTTCAGAGATAATGGCCAAAACATGCTGGAATGTCATAATCTTTTAAATCTTGTCTTTGTCACATACTCTCGACAAAACACCGCAGCGCTTATTCAAGCATTTGCGGTATGGCAGCCTATTAAGCTGGGTACACTGTGCACACACGATTCCATGAGAATGCAGATTGTGATTACTGACAATCAACTTGGTTTGCCATGGACAATCAGCAGACGGCATCACCTCCTCAAGAGCTCAGATGGTTTCGTCAGTAAACAGTTGTATGATAACGATGCAGTGTGCGCCTTACTTTAATCTCAAAGGCTATAAAAATAATAGCACAATACAGTAGATAATTCTATTTTATTAGTTAAGTAATAGAGTTTTTGAACCATACATTAATAATTATGTATTTTTGTTCCCAGGCCAATAACATTTTCACTGTGTAATCTCTAATGCATAAAGACAAAAAAGTTCAGTGTGCAGCAGTAAACCTTTTAGGCCACAAATGTTGTTTCACAGCTGGTTAAATTGTTTCATTAAATTACATAAGTAGGTCAGAAATACGTTTGTGTTGCCTAATACCTACTGACCAAAAATACCCTTTCACTATAATACATCTACTACAATTTAAAAGGGTATAGAATGCAGAGTACAAGTGGATGGCTATCTGGTACATTAGCCTAATTTTACCTTTATCATAGATCACTATGACTTGCCTTATAGGGGGCTAATCACGTCAGACTCGATAAGATCTGACATGTTCCCTTAACTCCAGGACTTCATGTCAAGGATGTTAGCCCATTAATTGTGATCCTGTGTTGCAATGAATCAGTGCCTGATATCATCAACTTTTCATCGCATGTGCCCAGGTCTGCCAGTAATTCTGATGGTTGGTAGTCCCACTGAAGGCCTTGGGTTCATATTTTGTGGAAGGGGTGGTGGCCTAACAGCAGTATTCATTTGATGTTGCATGGACGGATGTGGTTGATTGTAGTTGCCGTACTGTGATTGCGGCGGGTAGTCCATTGGCTTATTATCTTGTGCTGGGGGAAATGCTCCGTAGTTTGGGGGAGGTTTTGTAGGTACGGTTGGTTGCCTGTGAGTCGGACCTCCCATCTGATGAGGAACATTCATGTTTGTAGGGGGTGCATTCCTCAGCGGAGGGGGCGGGACGCTCATGTTCGCTGTATGCATATTCATGCTACCATGCCTGTGTACATTTTGAGCACCTGGGGCTGGTGGAGGGACATTCATGTTTGGAGGGGGTCCACTCATATTGGTCACTGGCGGACGTTGAACTGGAGGTCGCTGGACCGGTGGTGGGCCAGAGTATGAAGCAGAGGGTGTAGGCTGACTCGGGTAATTCTGATTGTAAGTATTTGGCTGGTTGTATGCCTGAGGTTGCTGCTGCTGCTGAGGTTGTTGGGACGCATAGCCACCATATTGAGAACCATATCCACCATATTGTGTATTCTGAACATCGCTTACAGGCGGTGGTTGTTGGTACTGTTGCGGAGCTGTTTTGAATGATGGATTATAAGGCTGTTGTATACCACCCGTTTGAACAGGATATGGATGGTTGTATTGCTGTTGCACAGGGGGCGGAGCTGTATAGTTGGATACCGGAGGTATAGTCATTGGAGGATAAGATGCTGTTGTGGTCTGGGGTGGAACAACGTTTGTTGCAGCAACTACTGGTGGAGGCACATGTTTCTTACTCCAGTCTGGTTGGTCTAGCGTAGGCCTTGCAGCAGGGGTCAGCGTTTCAATTGGGGCAGGTGTTGGTTTTGGTTCAATCACTGGTGCTGGTTTTGGTACTTTAGCAACTGGCTCTACAGAAAACAAAAACAACAAAAATCTTTGAGTCTATTTTTTAGAAAATTAGATATAAAAATATTATACTACAATAGTCAATACATCACAAAAAGAGCAATGCGAACATAATAATAGACTAAAGTACCTGTTATTGGCGGTGTGTGATCAGCGTCTCCAACTGGTGGTGTTTTCTGAAAATAAAAATAAATCAACCATTTTCCATACCATTTCAGAACCATATTCTATTATAATTAGGTAATAATATATATGTGTAGGTTTGTTATAAGACTGTTGTAGGCTAGGAAGTTGACCAGGATATGGATAACCAAAATTAGAAGATAATTTAGCCCAATAGTTGTTAACCAATTACTGAGGTAGGGATCTTTTGGGCTTAGGCCTGTTTATATGAGGAGGGGGATATGGTGTGCTTACCGATCTGTGTCGCTTGGTTGAAACCTTTGTAGGTGTGGGAGGGGGCACACCTTTCTTCTCTTGTTGCCCACTAGCATACAGATCAAGTAACCGATGGCAAATCTCTGAAATGTAAGGACACTGATTTTCAGACTGACATGTACAGAGGATAATGTACCACAATAGGTGACCCCGAACTATTAGCGTTCATGTGATGTTTAGTTGGTGTAAAATACATTGCAATCAGTGTAAAGGTATAAGGAAAGGACATGTTATGATTTTAAAACACCCAAATGATAATGTGCAAAATAAAAGGAAGGACAGGCAGTATGATGGTTAACAAATTATGTAATCGTATGTGAGGCTAAAGCCAGCCTAGATACAGAATGTGTCACAATTGCTTAAGCCAAATCCAGGACCCTTGCTGTGCCTAATCTGGCTGCAGAACTAGGCTTAACATTAGGCCCAACAAACCATACCTTCTTTAAACAATTCTTAACAGGAACAACATTTGTTATTTCCTGATTTGACATACACCTGAACCCACCTTCTAACATGTCAATAGTAACCTCTTCGTTCAGGTTTTCCCACCATTTTATCCTGGAATTCTTACACGTCCAATCCAGGAGATCACTTTTCGATAATCGCCCAGCCAGGTACAGGAAAGCAATGGATATGATATCAGGCTCCCATTCCAGACATAGTGTGGTGCACAAACTAAACAGAAAAAGGAGGGAAAAAAAGATGTACCAAATCATTAAAAAGACATTTTACATAAGATAGTAAGTTCACAAGCATGATTCTGGTTTTAAAATATTTTTTGACTTTCTTTTATTTGGTATCATCACATACAATACATTTTAATAATAAACATGAAAAACGTTAAGAAGCAAACAAGAGATGGGAACTTTGAAAATAAACGAAGATCAGGTAAAGACAGAGGCGGCACCAGTGGGGGACAGGGGGGCTTAAGCTCCCCATTGGTCTGGTCAAGCCCCCATTGGCCAAAGCTCGTCGGGCAGTTGGATAGAAAAGGGAAAAAAATAGGCCTATTTTTCCCATCCCAGCCATTTCCGGCCATCTACTAGTCTAGAAGTACCAATTTTTTTTTTTTTTCATATCTCGTTTTGGGAGGAGGGGACATCCCCTCCCATACCCACCCTGGCTCAGGCCTTCGGCTATAGTTACACCCATAAATACTTATCCCCTAGTCGGATATCTTAGCCCCCCCATAAATTATATCCTAGAGCCGCCACTGGGTAAAGATACCAGTAATTCTTTAAATTAATAACTGTTAACAGCAACAATAATAATAACAATAATGACAACAGCAATGGCATGGCCTAATATTTAGAATCATAATTTATCGGTAATCGGTAAATGTAATTGTAATATAGTATAATATTTACAAGACCCTTTAAAAGTATGTGCACTTGTTATCCAAAATTTAGAAACATAATACTAATTATCAAATTAGAAGAAAGTAAAAGTAATCAATAATAGTAATAGCAAAATTATCAATATAAATTAGAGTAATACAGTGTTACGTCATGACACTGCATGATACTACTCGGTTGCTATCGGCGACACAAAATGCGTTCAACCGTACCCATTATCTCCACTGGCAAACCATTGATCCCAATTTCTAACGTATTTATTAAGATGTTGTATCTTAATTTTTCTTTGTAAATTTTAATTGATGATTACATGTGTGTTCGATAACTAATATAATGCAAGCTTTTGTGTTTTTAGTACATTTTGATGGTAAATTATTAGGTTTAAAATGTCTATTCCAGAAAGCCAATACTAATCCATTAAGATTTTGAAGTCATTCATTCGTAATGAATGGTAACCAACGTCTGGTTGACAACAAAGGGCGCCACCTGGTGTTGTGATGACACAACTTTTGTACTCTATAATAACAGTAAAATACAGTTAACAATAATAGATTAATTTTCGACATTGGGAAAAATTCTGACATTTGCAGGAATTGGACCCATAACCTTGTGATTATAAGACTCGTACTTTAACCACCAAACCACAACTTGCCCTGCTCACCTGTCATTGACAAATGTCCAGGCCATCTGCACAAGTTTCTGAATCTTGTCTTTCTCGCCTTTGAATGACTTTGCATGCTTCAGAAGGTACGAATATGGATGCTCAATTTGGAGATCAAACTTTAAAGTTTGTAACAGGATTCTCTCATACGTCATAATCTCTTCCTAATCATCATAAATAAAAAAAAAATATTTTGATTTAACAACCACTAATAAATTTCAACAATATAATTCATTATTTTAATTGTTTTCATTTATTATATGATATTAACATTACTTTCAAAATAAATGATAATATCTACAATACCGTATTATATACAATGATATTATTGCTATTTTATTATATTTAATAAATAAATAAATGTTATAAATAATATAACAATAACAACATAAACACCATGTATTCAATTTATCTAAAAAAAAATTATCTAATATAATATTTTAATTCAGTCTTTCTCAAATGTATTTAAATAGTGTTGGCTCTATAGTATCTTAATTCAATGCAATAATTGTTTATAACTTAAACATTTTTGACACCTACCCTAGGATCATCACCAAAGAACGTCCAGTGAGCATCCGGTATCTGAATACGAGCTACTCGTATTATGTCCTTACATTTCTTTGGAGTTTCTTCAACTTTACCAGCCAGAAACAAGCATGCCGCTCCTGTAACCTAATAATGTCAATAAAGAAAAATTCAAAACAACTTAATATTAATTATAGGCAGGAAAAAGATATACTGCATCTTGTAAGAGTTTTGTATTTTTTTTTTGTCCAGTATGACCATATATGGGGCTTGCCATGCCAAAACCAACATTAGGGACAACAACATGAAAAATTACTTTTTAATAAACTGTATTCTTATTCTCCACATTACAAGCTTTAAAATTATGGGTCATTTACAGGAATCGACATACTACCGCTTCCCTGTACTAAAGTATACAATACTGTCACATTCATAAGCTATTTACTCAGTTTAACAATTACTGACAGTATAATGATTTGGGATGGCAAGTATCATCATCTGTGCTGCACAAGCTATAACAGCCTGTATTATATAAATAAATACAGAAAGCATTAGTTCCTGAATTCATTTTTTCAGACAGTGAGGTTAGTACCTAAAGCAGAAGTGTACTGGTTAGGAAAAACATGAGTGAGAGGGTATAAATTGCAACTACTTACAAATCTAGGGAACTCCTTAAAAGAATGAATCATGTAAAACCGATGATAGTAAACAACACCAGAAGCCATGGTGTCAAAACGGCTATGAGAAAAACATTAAGAAAAATAACAGGTGCAATATGTTGATATTAATTTCGTTCAAATGTTTTACTGTTATTTTGATATACTGTATTTAGTTACACTGGCAAAAATTATTTCCAATATCAAAAATATCTCCTACATATGCGGCACTCCTTTGCACTAAATCCGGGCACACACTATCGGCTGACGGTTGGCTGACCATCAACCAACAAATATACCTCAGACCTGTATACAAGCTTTCATTATGATTCACAGTCTTTTAAAGCATAGTAGAATATTTTTAAGAGAATAAAAAATGGAAAACATCATTGTTTGTATAAAAGCATATATGTTCCAGTAAATTACCTTAACTCTTTCAAGATACTCTCCAAGGCATAATATTGTTTAATAAAAACACAGTGATATATATGGGGGTGGGGCTCAATGATTTATAATATAAGGGAGAGTCTTCATTATGATTCACTGTCTTTAGAAAGCCTTGTAGAATATATTCAAGAGAATTAATATAGAGAGTGATGTTTAAACATTCTGACTATAAAACCTTATGTTATAAAAGGATACAGTCCAAGCTCTGTGCCAACTTCTATGATGAAGCGGGCCCCTTCTCTCCGATATCTTGCTTCAGTCGAAGGGTCAATGGAATCTTTGGTGGATGGGGTGTTGACGAGCTCATCTTTATCATACAGCCAGTAAGGCATTGTAAAAAGCACTGCGAAAAACAAAGTATATATACAGTATAACATTAGGAGTCAAGACTCATCACACACCAAAAAATTTTAAGTAATCAACCAATCACTAAGGCCTAGGGAATGTAGATGTGCATCCACGCCCACATGCCTAAAAATCTACCGCACGAAAATTTTCATTATTTTGAAAAAGAAAATGCTTTCAAAGTCATACACAAACAGAAAAACGATCTCCTAGGGCCTATTCCATCACATCTGACCACTCGTCGCAAACCACACGAAGGCAGGGCATCGCACAATAATCGCCAATTGTTGCCGAGGTCATTTACAGGTCAAATCGAACTGACTGAACACAATTCGAGTGGAATGGACGTTCCACCATATAGCGAACTACTCTATTGATTGTAAGATATAGTGCCAACAAGCGGATGGAGGAAAAGAGCTCTCATGGACGTTCCACTATATAGCGAACTGCTCTTTTGACATAATAAAAGAGTAAAATAGTTTACAGGCATATGACCGGTTGAGCCGCTGGTCATTTCTATGAAACACCAAGCGCGTCTCTCAGTGAATGTAGTGCGTTAATTGCGGCACATTTCAATTAACTTATTCGTTATTTGTACTATTTTGTTAAATTATTTAATTAAATTATTTATTATATATAAGTTTAACAAATAGTACAAAAATAAAAATATATAAATTACAAAACCATAGTAAATACTGTGTACATAGGCCTACACATTTAAATTTATTGTTTATAGTCATCTGTCTATTTAAAATCAAATTGGTTTTACTAATTTTACTTATTACTGTTTTATTAATGCTCTATTAATTATTTTTGTTTTATCTTCCATGGTTAATTTGATCAGTCAGCTTGCCGATGTCATCAGTGAATTAACCCCTCGGATACCATATTATGGCCCATATGGTGGGCTAACTAATAAAATACCTCTGTAGTAATAATTCAAATTAGCTTATTATAATTATATTGAACTGGCTGGAGAATACTGTAACGTGTGTATAATATTTAATAGCTTTCTTAAATAGCCCAGTGAGTCTCTAACTAGAGCCCTGGCCCTGACCTAGCTAGGAAATATTTCTAGTGCTAGGCTAGGGCCACGCCGGTCCCGACAAAGCTAGGCGTAGGCCTAGATCAGGAGGCTTAGGCCTAGCCTGAGTAGACTAGGAGCCTAGCCTAGGGCTAGCGGCGCCGTCGGCAGTGTTGGCTTGTATAATAACTAATATACATACAATCTACACCATACATCGTATATTACTAAATAAACGTCATCTAGAATCTTTAACCTATACCTTTTAGATAATTATAATTGTAAACTGGAATAACGTAACGAAAAATCCAAGCAGACGTCTTGCTTGCTTGCTTGCTTGCTTGCTTTGCCTGGCTGCTGACGACACGACGTTCCGTAATCAAAGATTGTATAGCGCCGCTATGCGGCGGCGCCGTAATCCCGTTCTGCTTCTTGGAAGGTATTGCGTTACGATTATAAGCTAACGCGTTTGCGGATACATTATCCATTATCTAGCGACGACCTAAAAACTTGAAAAAAAAAACACAAAAAAAACACGATATTTTGTTTTGTTGTATATTTAATAAGTCATTAGATCTCAATTGAAAATTACTTGTATACAAGGCCTAGTAATAAAGATGGCTGTGTAATAATGTTATCAAACTTAGGCTTATGAATGGTAAGGTAAAGGTAATTCTCCGTCGTATTAATTGATTAAGTATCACGTACACAACACAATTAGTATAAATACTACAAAAATACAATAGCACCTTATTACTAACCTTGTATAGCTTTACTTTTTTATATATGTTTTTATACTTTGTAATTATGACATTGGAAACCAATATGGAGGAGTAAACTGCCACCCAACACCGTGTCACCAAAATAAGTACCTGTCTCTTATACACATCTAGATGTGTATAAGAGACAGATACTCTCCAAGGCATAATATTGTTTAATAAAAACACAGTGATATATATGGGGGTGGGGCTCAATGATTTATAATATAAGGGAGAGTCTTCATTATGATTCACTGTCTTTAGAAAGCCTTGTAGAATATATTCAAGAGAATTAATATAGAGAGTGATGTTTAAACATTCTGACTATAAAACCTTATGTTATAAAAGGATACAGTCCAAGCTCTGTGCCAACTTCTATGATGAAGCGGGCCCCTTCTCTCCGATATCTTGCTTCAGTCGAAGGGTCAATGGAATCTTTGGTGGATGGGGTGTTGACGAGCTCATCTTTATCATACAGCCAGTAAGGCATTGTAAAAAGCACTGCGAAAAACAAAGTATATATAC